TTTGACTGGGTAAGGCGAGTGGGGCTTACAGTGACTGGATTGGATGCACCGGTACAAGAATAAAATGGGGAATTGGGGCTGACGACATTTCAGTCACAAAGATTTGTCCATCACAGGACGTACTGTTCATGTAAAGGAATGAGATAATAAAAAATAAAAATGTAAACTTTTACAAAAATAATAAAATTAACACATATAGATATGCACACAACACAAGGCTTGCTCGGGAGTAAAAACATCCATTTTACCTCTGCAGAGTAGGTAAGAACTTTGGGGAGGATCAGTGAAATAAAAGTTGTTCACTCTTTAGTTGTGCTGTTCAATCCAGTATTGAAAGTCGTTCATCTTGCAGGCAACCTTTGGTGTTTGCATTCGGTGACATGACTGAGAATGGCATTCATTTAACTTTACACTTTGACACCAAACATGCCACACTTTCAGGCGCCAAGTGTTATCACATTTTGCCGGCCCGTTTTTAGACTCCTGCTTCACATTCAAGCAACACCACGAGAGGTAGCCATGGGTGAAATAAACTTGCAACAGGAAAGATTTCATGGAACAAACTGAAGGGAGGTGTGAAAAAGCAACGGAAAAGTAAACAGAAACTCCTCCATCGGGAAACAAGGGACACCATGAAATAAAACCACAATGATATGAACCTTGGGTAGGAATGCCCCATCGTGTAAAGAACTGTGAACGCTCAATGTAATACACTTCCCTGGTATGCAATGATCCCAAAGTGTGACAACACAGCATGCAAGCCAGTGAAGGAAGAGCTGTCAAAGGCCATGCCTATGGATATGGCAATGGCTGAAAATAACACGTGCCCCAGTAAGCCAGTGGATAGTAGCAGCAGCCACTTCCATTTACATGTGTGTAGCCTAGCCGTAGCCAGTTGATTAGGACATTAACCGTACATAAAAGACAATCTTCTATTCCCACCTGTCATGCTACACATTACCTCAATCATCAATAAACTGTGCAGAAGTTACAGCACTGTGCCCTAGCACCATGTAAAACGAGGGTTTAATTTCAAAGTAATGCATAGACCTTCAGCAGAATATTACCAATAGTCTTGGATTATAGCCATGTCACACTCATGCTTACAGACCCCAAATGATCTGTGCATTTAATGTAAACATATAGGGGTCTACATTACAACACACCATGCATCAGAGTTGATTAAGTTTTTCAGGACTGTCTACAACACAGAGGAGAAAGGAATTGTTATGGCCAAAAAACAAGGCATAATTTAAAACAAAACATGGGCAGTTTTACAAGCAAGTTTACATTAGTTGCTGATCAAACACCTTTTTCCACCACCCAGCAATTTGCAAGTGTCTTCACAACCTTTTCAATTCACCACAGAACAGAATCATGGGAAGGGAAAAAAAAAAATGTTGGCAAAACGTTGTAGCAAGAAGCGTACTTACACTGCCACATCCATGTTGTTGTCTCCAGCACTGGGAAGTGATGGAAGCATTATTAAACGGGAAGAGAAACAGTTTATTTCAACAACGAGACTACACGCTCATGGACGATGTTGCATTATTGCACGGTGCGAGAAAAAACAAATTACAACACAAACGGTACGAAACAGACTGACGTGTACATGTACTTGCCCCAAAGAGTTTTACTGCCAAGCAAACTTGACTCGTCGCTGATGTAGGAGTTTTGCAACAGTTTATGCTCGTTAGGCATTGTACAGACTTTAAAAAATAGACACAGGATAACAGTATTTTATACAATCTGTTCAGTCACTTGGGCAGAACCGTCACACGGGATATCACCCTATGCTTACTTCTTACTTCCTCGCAACAGATTGACCAATCAGAATCAAGAAATCAAGCTTGCTTGAAGATGAAACTATTTACCTTCCCTAACTCTCCCAGAATACATGTATATGCCCAAATCAAACTCAAAATATTTTCTCATCTTTCATGCAGTCGGGACAGTAAAGCCTGGCCATGAATAATCTGACTGGATGTCGACTTATCAAACACAATCACACACAATACAAACATGACAAAGCAGCATCAGAACTTTTTAGGGCATGTTGAAGTTGACAGATCTGAGCATGTACCCAGCAGGAATGCCAAAGGAGTTACGTTTACTGTAATCCTGTAAGTTACGGTTACTGTGACATGGATTCTACAAACTTCAAAATATTTTAATATTTTTTTAAATCCTTAATGTCAAATTAGAGTGCATGCAAGGTACCAGTATTCAACTAATAAAAATAAAACACCATATCTAAAGAACACACAATTTAAGTGGCTACCAGCACTGCCATTATTTTATACAGAATTTCAAGTGAAAATGTAAAGATCATAGCCTGAATATCACAATGTCTCTCCCCCACAAACATTTCTGGAACCAAGTCTTCAAATTCACCACCATCACGCAAAACCACGACATCACGAGAATACCATGAAAATAACAAAACTGGTCGCGCTGAGGTGAGCTTCTGGGATTTGGGGAAAGTAATCAACAACAAAGAACAACGGATAAAACAAAAGAAATAACTCATATGTATCTCTCATGTACTCCCAGCAATTCAGAATTGCAGGTGCTGACGTGAACACAGTAACTAAAGAAAACAAAATTAAACTTGAGAAGAACCAGGTCACAGGAAAACAAGGACAGATGACAAAAACTTAAAGACAATTTGGCACTCGGTGCATGTACATATACAATACATATGTAGTGCAGTGCAAAGTCACTGTTGCCATGGTTACCAGTAACAGCTTTGAATGCCCTTGTGGTCGACAAATCAATAGGCCTACTCTGTGTACGGATGCTTGTATACTTTCCTGCAGAGCCACACTGTCCACCACAGGAAAGCACACATGTTAAAGTGTGACGTAGTCAGAACAGTGGCCAATTCATATTGTGAAATGCAAGCTTACATGTACTTCTCGTAAATTCTGGAAACTCCAAGAGATAAATTACAGCCATGCTTATAGAGGCATTTCCACTGGCCCTTACTGAAGAAAAAAAACTTGTCTATTTTTTCCTCAGAGTAACGGTACATCTGTACATGTACTTATGTACACACTCGAAGAAATGGCACAACCAGTCCTACAGTGCAATACCTGAGTGCGAAACTGCAGATGAAAACTCCAAACCCCTTGATTTTCACTCCCTAAATTTGTCCCAATACACTTTACCACTGTCCTTTAGATCACCCCCTCCCAAATTTCTGCTTTGTCTGAGTTTTGTTGGTGCCTCCAGAAATTTTTCTCGTGTCAGGTTACACCTTCTCCTGACATGTCAAACCTCAGTTTGATTTCCTGATAACTGACAAAATGCCTAACAAGAGCTGACAACTGGTTTCCAATGTGCAATTTATTTATGAGGGTTTTAATCTGAGAAAAACATGCATAGATCTGGAGGCTGTTGCCACACATGAGCTGCTTTGAGTCAAGGTTCACATTCCATTCAATATTTCACAGGAGACCGTGCTCTGAGGGTAACTTTTCTCATGGAAAATGCCCCTCCTCCCATGCAACCTTTAATTGATTTATCGACCACCAGGAGTTCTGAAGTCCCTTGCGACAACTATGTTCCTTACACAATCTGTTGGCTACTTCCGAAGTTTTGCTCGTTGATGACAGGACTAGGGCAGAGAGTGGGAAGGAAATGAGAGGGAACAGCTGGTAGGTTAGTAATAACAAGCAACAAGACCCAGATGAAGATAAGACACGGAAGTACAGATACGTTAAACAGGAACTATCGTTGGAATTTGGAAAAATATTGAACCTAAAACACTCTCAGTGATGGGCTTACAATACCAAACAGACTTTGAGTATAAAAACCAGAAGTGCTTGGTGTGAAGGAAAGTTTGTAGAAAAGCAAAGATCAAATTATTCGGTGTAACAAATTGAAATTAAGACAAGATAATTGATTTTTATGTAGATGATCCGACACTGGACAGATGGGAATTGCACAGAAATCAAGTCATGCTAAAGAAGGATTTGGTGACGATGGCTGGATATCAGACCATTTGAATCTGTGCACTGCCTGACCATAAATACCTTGTCTTCAGAAAGGCAGGTATGATTAGTCAAATCGTCCTGAACATGTTTTGAATGTTACTGCAAGTTGCAAAACAAGTCCAATATTCTAATACCAATACCACTGACACTGCAATCTTTGACAGATCACACGAGCCTGAAACAGGGCCAGAAGCACCTCGTTTTTACTTCATTCTAAGCAGAGGTAGATTCACTCAGGCACACTGTACACTTGAATCTACCCCTTAAACCTGATCCTAGCCAGATGTTTCAACTCGCAAAAATTGTTGTGCATTTTCACTGACTTGTCAAAAAATCAAGTTCACAGATGCCCCAACTTTGACAGGTCAGTTCTTAAAAAATCCTGTCTATGAATATTGAATAGTTACAGGAATTGAAGAAAAACGAATATGTACAAGGTTTTCAACATAGCCACTTGTTTTAAGCACTGACTTTTTTCTTTTTAGCAGGAAAGCAGGATATAGGCCTGCCATCTGAGGTAGATTACGTTACTTATCTCAGGGATCAAAACTCGGGGTCTGGAAGGATTAACTAAAGCCCACCAACTTCCCGGAGGTACAGTGTACAGATTTGTCTTATTGCCGGCATTACGAAGATTCAAGGATAAGATCTTTAGAAGTTTGAAATGCCAAAGTGGCAATCCATCAAGATCATCCCGTAATATTTTTGTACATCTTGTCTGATTTAACCACTGTGTGCAAAGCTCTTGAATCCTATGAGACTGTTTATCTGGAGAGATAATTCAAGGCATTGCATACACAGTCTTATCCAACAAACCATCATCCCAACGCCAAGCTCACAAATATGTTTGACTACCAGGGACATTTTAAGCCAAGCATCAATAGGTCCAACCAGCAGAATGTGGAATCAGAAATGTTGGAATCTATTCATATTTCCAAGAAATGCCAAACCTTTAAACCTAGCCTCTGTATGTAAAAGCGTCTGATAAATTCTCCATTTACTCCAACTGGTGCTGTATTCCTGTAATATGTCAGTCTGCTTCCCGCATTTGAGTGCTGATAACACATCACTGTAAAAAGAAAAAGGAGCGCTATGAGAGTATAGCTACGGCGATGCAAGATTCACGGCTTTTACTCACGTTATCTTCTCCTTCTTTGTCTTCTCTTTCTGACTAGTCTGCATGGTACTATGGCGACACATGATGAATATCGCCATGGAGAGGAACATGGTGTTCACCTGACAAGAAAAATATCCAAATAATAACAGCCACCTTTAGAAGCTTGAATTTCAAATCATCAGACACTGAGAGACTCGTTGTTCCCTTTTGTGGCAAGGACTAAAAAAAAACAGAAGTCCCTGAAGTCATATGACGGCTCCACACTACCGGGCCAATTTGACGCTAATTCTCAATTTGTGCTCACAAGTTCTCCTCCGCAAAACTTACCACAATTATGACGATGACTGGAGCGACAAAAGCCCAGATAAAGTTGTTATCCACTGCCAACCAACAACTTGAAACGAGAAGGAAAAAAAACACCGTTTACTAATGAAATCCTAACCAAGTTTGGAGTCTGTAAAGCCAAAACAATTTTAAAATGCAGAATCTGCAGGCATTAACTTTGTGAAAGCTGGTGGCTTATATTCACAAGTCACACCAACTCTACATTTGAAATTCGACAAATAGTCAGTTCATGCACCGTTCAGTTTCTGACTTCAAACGCCCTTGAAGGAGTCACTTGGAATAAACATCAAACAAGCTCCATTCTTTCTACAACTTGCTTACACAGTCTACGGAATAAACATAGCACCCACAGTAATCAAAGCAGGTAGATTTCAAGATTCAATTTCCCAGAGTTAACATCTAAGCCAAGGGCTAAATTTATGCCAAGGGTAAATATGCCAGGGCCCATTAGCAGGTGCTTAAATTCCACGGCAGTCCACTCTTATCTTTGAGGGCACGCTTAAAACTAAAACACCAACAGGTGGTGAAATACGTCAAGCTGAAGTTACTACATATCGACTCCTGGCATGCCTGGTGAAGAAAAGTCATTGAAACCCACATTTCCTGTCACTCAGCCCAGACTCAAATAGTTCTAGTTTTCTTGAAATGGGGGAGGGGGAGGATTTACTCCCTCCCCCCTCAGGAAATTTGTCTCTTATCTAGGATGACCAAATAGCTACGGGGAAGATCGCTCAATTTTGAAGTGGCCAAGCTGTATAGGGCAAGAGGTCAAATCTTATTTGTACTTATTAAAACTACATGCATGATTGCATGACATGATTGCATAAGGGAAATGAATGTAAATTGGCAGGAACAACTTCACATCTGCTGGATCTCAAATCCAACTGGGGGTCAGTCAAGGATAAAGTAGGCATGAAATTGGTTGCAAGATTAATGTTTTGAACATTAAGTAAAATAACTTGGCCCAAATGAAATGGTCAAAAGTGTCTCGAGGAATAAACACCAGGATAAAGGTTGAACAATAATTAAATCACTGCTCACACCATGACTAAGAAAGACGGATTAACCACACATGCTTGCACACACGGCTCAAGGCTGTGAGAAAAACTTACTATTCCTCGGTTCCATAGCTGCCGATGTCAATTGCTGCTGCTATACCAACCACTAACAATGGCAGACCTGTGGTTAGAGTGACAAACCTTGTCAAATTAAAATTTCAATTACACAAACCATGTGAAGTCTGCATGCTCTATCGTCGATGTGCCGCTTTAAGCAGAACATTTGACTAGCCTAGTTTTCACTTTCAGAAAAGCGTACCCAAAACATTATCTGCCGAGGGAAAAAAATGGCATAACGGAAGGTTCTTCTCCCAAGAGTTGAACCCACCGACCTTCTGGTCCAAAGACAAAGCCAAGGGGGCGGGGAGGCCACACTCCTGTCATCGTAATGAATGCAGGATGGAAGGTTAGTGATGAGAAAGGGAAGGGAGTTGGTTTGTGTTGGCCGTGATCAATCAAACTCCACCATCAGTCAGCAGTAATGAGTTCATTCTGCCATCAAATTGTACAAGATTTATTGTGAGTTTCTTGTCCATGACTTTTTATTTGGAAGACATCTTGTTGCAAGCAGCCTATACAAAGCGGCCAACTGTGTCAAAAGCTTAACCAAATATCTGCTGTGGTATTTGCTGTATTAAAATCTGCAATTACATTAAAAACATTCTTTTAATAATTTAAACTTGGCCCAGCCCAATCATGACCATGTTTACATTAGCTATGCAAAAACTACATGTTACTTGTACCCTACCACGCCCAGATCAGCCAAGATCAACCCAGCACAGGCTGGCTCAAGTTAGCCTAGCCCAGTTCAGCTCATCCCAGTCCAGCCCAGTTGAGCACAACCCAGTCAAACCCAGTCCAGCCCAGCCCAAACTAGCCTAGCCCAGATCAGTTCATCCCAATCCAGTCCAGTTCAGCCCAGGGGAGAACAATCCAGCCAAGCCCAGCCCAAATGAACCTTGCCCAGATCAGTTCAACCCAGCCCAACCCAGCCTAGTCCAGTTGGTCCACTCACCATATCCAAATGGATAGTAGTACTTCCGTCTGGAGCTCTCTGCTTCAAAGACCTCCACCAGCATAACGTACAACTGGATTCCCTCTAGACACATCCAGGCAAATGCAGCCAAGAAGAAGTAATGAAGAAACAGGGCCACTACTGTGCACATTGCCTGCAAGAACAGGTGCAATGATGCCCATTATCAGTAATCACGAGAATGAATCTACAACTACGACTATTCCATGCTATTTTTTCCGTCTGAACTTCGCAACAAAACAAAGACTGTTTGACAGCCAAACAATACACTAGCAAATCTACAAAGGTATTAACTTTTCAACTTCCTAAACCTGAGAAACCAAAAACAGGAACCAAAAAGATAAACAAATAACAGATGTCAGTAAATCCCTTATTTTCAGCCCAAATCAGGATCCACCGAAAATACAATGTACATGCAGTCCCACATCAAAGTGACGTCAGTCAACTGCTGGGTTAACCACACATGTAGGTCCAGCCAAGCCTTTCTCTTAGGTCTTAAGTACTTTCTCACCCCTCGTGATGCTTGATCAATGCCGGCCATGAAGACAATCTCAGCAATGAAAAGACAGATGCAAAGGTTCTTGTGAATCGTGTTGCGATCGTTCTGCAAATTTCTGTAGCACAAAAAAGGGAAGTGACTTTGATACAATGATAGAACAAATAACGGAGAAGAAATATATGTTCATTTTATCTTCATGAACAGTTTAATTATTAAACACCGATCCCTAATAAACTGAGTCAGAGGTTAAATAACATACTTCAGCGAGGATTTCTCTTGCTCCTAATAAAAGAGATAAAGTTGTTGGTTTTGGTGCATTATTCACCATGTCATTACTTGTTGACATGTCATCTTTCCTACACACTCTAGATTGTTCAATGAATTTAGACAACCTAAAAAAGCCTGGCAAATGGAGTTTTATTAACCACAACCCCCTAAGCCTTGCTCAAATTTCCAGGGTAAAAAATAGCAGATCAACCAAGTGCTAAGATTAGGGGGACAGCCATTTCTGACCCCATTTCAGAAGCACTGAACCGTGTAGCCCGACGGAGAAACAGGTCAGGCAAACACGTTCAGGATGTGGTTGCTCTGCCACGAGCCCTCAACCAAAGTAACAGCAAGGAGAGGTCTTACAGGCACCTACATGTAGGACGTCTCGTTGCTAGGTTCAACCCTTCGTGACATTTCCCTAGGTGTAACTCAATTGTACTCATACTTGCGAGGATATTTAAGGGACGGTTAACAAGTTTTTAGACATTTGAACAGATATTTCTTTCCTTGCAAGTCAATGGATCTTTGAGTTGGAACCAATTTGAAAAGTAAAAACATCAGCAAAGTCGGGGAAACAGCTTTTACAGTTAGTGGGAGTCTATAAATCAACTCATTTGGTATAGATGCCCCGTGATGGGCAGATTGATAATGTGTGGTTTAAAGTTCAACTATCAGGTGGCAAATATTAATGCATAGCCATTATTTTTTCATTTGCATGTGTACAAAACAAAACACTTTGTGCAGCAACCGGACACACAGTGCAATGGCAACCACGTGTTGGCCTAACCTTTCTTTTTATCACCACAGACCGGGTGCAAATGTTCAAAGAAAAACCTATAAAACTCAAAGCGACTGGCTTGGCTACCCCCGGTGAAGTAAACAATCCTACCACAAAGAATGTTTAATTAACAGTGTCCTAATGTGATCCAGGCTTCAAATGCCTTGCTTTCACAAGAAACAGTGAACGTCCTGTACAATCCAAACAGTTTAGATCTGGCTTCAGACAGGGACGGGAGTTTGGAGCGGTACATGTACTCAGTCCAGAATAGGGTTGGGGGTACAGTGGGTTTAATTGACGTCAACATCCGCCATGTTTCCTCAGGCCTGGGGGCGGTATGATACAGCAATCAGGCCCAGGCCCTTGGTGGTGTTGAGAGCAGCGCATGTTGGCAGGCTATGGGTAGATTCACGGATGGAATAGCGGAGTTGGAGCTCATCCAACCCGACATGCACGTACATGAGCAGTAGATGCTTGCAAAGCATAACACAAACAGAGGAAATTTTTGACTGCCATAACAAAATGGACATACAAGCATAGCATTCCAACGGTTTTTCCTTGATCCAAAACTTAAATCAGATGAGCAACAGCGCTCTCTTTTTTCAGGGTGCTGAGAAAATTGTGCTGAAAACTGGGACATCCTTGAAGCATGTTACCAAATAATCACAGCATACAGTTCCGTTTTCAAAATTTGACCCCCGGAGGACAAACAACTTGACCTTCCAAAGGGCTGTGAATGAATTTTTTTTAAGGCCTAAATCACATTCAACTCACTCCGTTTTCCGATCAGAAGAAAAAAAAAATTCCACAGGAGTTTCGAAAGTCTGAAAAGGACAAACATGGGACCGGGCTGTTACTCACTGGAAATAGGCAAACGTTATGAAAGCCAACAACAGACAGATGCAGGAGACGATGAAGCCAATGTAGGTGATGATGGAGAGTGCAAACGCATCCCCGTGGGGAATCTGGAGAGAAGAGGAAAAGGGAGGAGACGGAGGGAAGTTGATAATCATTAGAGAAATGTTTCCATGGCAACTGGTGTAAATACCAGGCCTGCTACTCAGCTTTTTGGCAGGCCAAGTGTGTTCGGGACTCAAGCTACTGACTCTTGGTTTGTTAATTTTTCTACTTCCGTTGGCACACTTCGGAGTTTCACTGGCACATTTTTAAATGTCTGCAAGGGATTGTCAACTACAGTGTCATGAAAAATCAGTCATATTCGCATCAACCTGTGTCATGTTCAAAGGATAAGAGGCCACGTCATTACTGATTCTACTGTTCTTCTTTTATTACTCATTAAAAAGCCAATAGATCAGGTATGTTTCCACAATTAGTGCACACTGAGTATTTCAATCCGCATATTAACCCTAACAGTCCTCAATCCTTCACCTGTTGGAGGACTGAGGACTATTAGGGTTAATGAAATGCATTGATGTAATCTGCTTGCAATGAGTGAGGAAGAAGTCATAATTCTATTGCAGTCAGCAGGCTTAAAATCTCTCCAGCTTTTCTAAATTCTCGAAGAGCTCCCGGGCTGCTGACAGACAACACCAGGAAAAATCTGACCGAGAAACTTACTGGGGTGCCTTTGGTGTTCATGAGGATGGCAAAGTTGGTCAGATGGGTGCAGGAACAGGTAGTGTGGGTGGCGTTGGTACCTGTCATGGTGCAGCCGGTGTCCGACCACTCACCAGTTATGCTGTCCGCATGGACAGAGCTGCCGGTGCTGTCAGTCATAAGAAAACAACAAAAAACGTCAAAGAAAAATTCTATGTGCTCTCCAAGATGGACTTCTGAAGTCATAAAAAAACAACAAAATCATTTCACATGGACTGCGGAATGACACAAAATCATTTCACATGGACTGCGGAATGAGACTTCACACCATAAAGTGTACTGTTTTCCTGAGAGCTTCCTGGTACTTGGTTGACCCTTGTCATTAACATTCTTCCAAGACCAGAATGTTACGTAAAACACTGATACCACTGAAAGTGACATCCAATTAATTACAAAATAAGAGCTCTCTTCCCAAACTAGAGTTTCATCTTTAACATTCTAGAACACTAGATAACTTAATTCTGTGAGCCAAGACACCATTCAAAATGAAAGGTACAAAACAAACCACAACTTAAAAACTTGAAAGAACTATCATAAAATTCCCACCTATTCATAAATTTCCAGAAGGAGCACACAGGCTTAGAAAAGTTGGCATTGATGTGCTCGAAGATGATAGTGGCTGGCTGGGAGAGATCGGACGAGGCCCGAGGGTCACCGATGGAGGCAGACAGGATGCGTGAATTGACCACATAGAGGTCCTGCTCCTGGTCATTACCAAAGCTGCTGGACTCCAGAAGGCTGCCCAGATTGTTGTAAGCCAAGAAGACCACTTTTGACAGGCCTGAGGACAAAAAGAATTCAAATCAGATTCAAATCCATCTTTGACCACTTTGAGTTCTCGTTCTTCTACTGGCTTTTAACTAAGCTTAATGTTGGAAAAGACATGGGCACTCGCCCCCCTTCCCCTCCCCAGAAAAAACAATTTGCAAAATAAAAAAAAATGAAAGAAATGAAAATCTGAGATGGAAGGGGATCACAATCAAGAATATGCTTCAAAACCCCTCCAAATTGAACCCATCTTCCATGGTGAATGGTTTTTCAGTTTATACAATGAGTGCCTTATCCCTCTCACTCCCCACATAAAATGCTTTACGTCAATCCAACCCTGGAAAACAATCCTGGCGATGCCCCTGTGGACAGAATACATTTTGATCACAGAAGAATCTTTTTTGAAATTCTGCAAGGAGCGAAATGACAGGTGGTCTGACTTTTGATTTGCAAACTTTCCAACCATCGTGTCAAGAAGTCTGCAGTTTCTGTTGGTTGCTCAGCTTTAATTGATTTCTGACAGAGTTTTCTCAACACGATGTAAACAGGTAAATCATCACAAAAGTGTCAAACAGGCACTGCTAAGAAAACAGTTGCCTCCTCAGCAGTTATAGACTGGTTATCTGAATAATCAGACAACATGACATTTGAAAAGCCTGCAGGACAATGTTACCTTTTTTGACAAAGTTCAAAAGGAATCATCACTTCCTGGGTAGACAGCTGGATCATTGCTAGCCCACAACGACTAATCCTGTGACCAGAATTTGAAGCTATACATGCACATGTAATCGTGACTTACATGTAATACCATGCTAGCAGTGAGGTCATGGGTGGGCATTAAGTGTCTCTTCAATCAGCATACAGGATGTTGTGACTTGCCGAATTGCAACTGCGCCTTAAACTTTCAGAATACATGTACGCAGTGGGGAGAAGGGGTCATGGAGTTATGGTGTCTTTTTGGATTAGTCTATGAACGACTTACGGCAAGCCATTTTTTACAGTTAGAACCTGTCTTTGCATTTCAGGCATGTGAATCCATGTCTTACCGTCTTTGCTTCTGTCCTTCAAGCTGGCCTCGGGGATGGAGATCGAGTCAGTGATGTCTTGCCACTCACTGGATGTCAGCTGAGATGGACGAGGGAAGGAAATGTCCTTGAGATCACCCTTGGATGCATCTTGAACCACCACATTCAAAACTGCAGCAAAAGGAAGCAATTAATTATTACTTTAGCCAATGAGCATAAGAAGTAATGTTGAGCAATGCAGTACATCTAAAATAACCACAAATCAAAGTACACTTTGAGTGCTGATAAAAATAAATCACATATTAGTTTATAATGAATGATCAGATATAAATAAATAAATATATCACATCTACTAATATTACTTTATTAGTATGAACTTAAGAACCTTTGGAATAGACCTGAGGCTAGTACATGTACAACAAAACATGAGCATTTGAGCTTTCCTTCACTTTTCCATTCACGACTCTTCCTTCAACAACCGACATGTTCCTAATCCCGAGCCAAAGATGCATTGATATTTCCTGCCTCACCTCTTTCAACATGGGGACGTTTCCAGAGGCCTCATATTTAAAGCTTTTACATCTCGAGCCGGTTCGGCTCCGGTAAGTTGCCAATTAACTTAACGAGGGCAGATAAAGTCTTCCTGGACACAAATTAGTCCAGATAGAAACAAACTTGTTAGCCTTACCCTTCTAGTCATTTTGGACAGGCACTATCCCCGAGTCCACCCAAGCCCTATGGCACATTCTCTGTGCTACACAACCAGAATTACGACCTGTCTGCACATGCACCCGTCTTGTGCAGAGGGTTTAGGTCCATTTTCAAATACATGTAAATGGGTAATTCCAGAAATTAGGGGTCCATTTTTTTCGTGTCCCTGTCACATCTGACATATGATTTGTTAAGTTCTGAAAACATTTCCTAATTTCTAAGAGTGATGAATTACTGCAAATTACCTGCCAAACAAATAGTAATAGTTTGAAACCAATTCCAGTGTATATTTCCAAGTCAAATGACAAAGGTCAGATGGAACAGGGACACGAAAATGTCACACTTTTGGACCCCTAATTTCTGGAATTACCCAATGCTCTTTGACCACAAGAGTGCAGAGACTTGCCAGAGTGCATGCCTACATGTATCTCAGGTGAAAGACCATGACAAGTGCTTTCTCCAGGATGGACATGACCCACCTCAATCATTCTAAATACCCCAGTACATCAAATTAAAGCATTCTGGAAGTTACACTAGGAAGGATGAAAGGCAGGGTTGAGCTTACTACGTTGATTAGTAACTCTTATCATGAAAAGGGCAATTCAAAGGTACATGTATACTCCTCCCAACTTGTCAATTTTGATTTAACAAACACATTTTTATGAAAGGCTGTCTGTTCCAGTCATAGCCGAAATAGAAGACATGCTTTAATGATTCCTCTTACCGTCTCAAAGTAACTCTTTATCTGCACAGATCCATTTTTTTAAAAAGTCTTCAAATTGAAAGAATTATGAACTCCGAATAATTGGATTCATCAAACCTTTACTCCAAACCAGATCTTTAACCCTAACAGCCCTGAATGCTGCAATTTTAGTACAATTTTGCACACACCCTAGGGAGTTAGGGTTAATATTTATTCCTGGTGCGAATTCTGTACACCGTAAGATTAATAGGGGCAGACTTTGTAGGTTCTGAGCCCTTTACCCACATTCCCAGAACCAGAAGACTTGATCTATATGTAGCTCTCTTTGATCATTCCAACCACAAAGTGGACAGTTTCAACCTTTTTAAATTGGTAATCCTTTAAGCCAAATCTTAGAATACCTTGCATTAAGACTTAAACCAAAAACAATTAACAAATTCCAGGAACAAGTTTCATATCTGGAAAGTAACAGCATAGGCACCGCTAGTTAAGGATTTCTCATTTAAAGCAGGATTTCCAGAGATCTAAAAAAAGATCATTTTGGACAAGCATGTACCGGTACATGTAAACCTCAGCAATAACATCCATGGAGCAGCTCAGCCGGAAATACGATTTAACAAAGTTTGCAAGAAATCTGCACTTCCAAGAATCAGGCAGACAACGTACATGTACATGTATCTTCTCTTAACTGAGGGAAATAATGACCTCAGCATATTCAAGTGTCGACTGGGTCTTTGAACTTTTTCTGAACAAATGTTCATTCAACTGAACAAATTTTGACAACTGTTGTCATTCAATTGAACTCTAAAAACACCATAAACCATCTAAACTTCAAGTGCTAAAGGAAGTAGGTCTACGTAAAAGATCTGCATTCCCCCAAACTGGAAAAGCTGCTAACTAGACAGGCTATGTTGACTTCTGTCTTCACCAGATTCACCTTTGGTATTCTATGCAGACGGCACTAATGTGTCTCAGAATTTTCCACAAAAGAAAGGTCAACTCAGTAACGTGTTTGCCCGTAAAATTCAAAATCCCTACAATGCTTCCACTACTCAGATGTGAACCAGCTAGCTGGCTTTGGCTAGCTATACAATGGAGAGGTTAAGACTATGCTGGAGGCCGTGGGTTCAAATCAGCAAATTTGTAAATTTCTCTCACAAGCTCTAGCACATATTTTTTGTGATAGCATCAGAGAAGGGCAAATGAACAATATTAAAATCAACTCCTGCATCTTACCAACATTGCCTTCCTCACTCGTCAAGGTGTTACGGGTGCCCAGATTCTCAGCCAGCACAAAACCGGTCTCCTCGATGGATGACAACAGACTGGTGGCAGTCTTGGTCTTCTTTGCTCCTGGTAAGTCCTGCCAAGACTCCAGCTTGGAGCCCCCAAGAACAGTGCTCCCTATCTTGACATAGTTCTACAGAAACCAAAACAAGAAATGCTGTCAGTTGTCAAAAGAGCATTTCCAGAGAAAAATGATACAAACCATAAGATTCAACTGGAACTATGACTTGTGTATTTCCCGGATACCATGCAAACTTAACTTTACCAAGGAAAACTTAAACCTAACCTACGAAGAGCTACGCTATTTAAAATTTTTGACAAGGAACACAATTTTCTTCAAATTCATGATTTTAGTACAAATTTAATTTATCTATGTAGAGAGAAATATCACCCTACTGTACCTTTGTGACTGTCTCAGCCATTTCAAACTTCTGGGTGTTGTTCAAGCCTGCAAGTTCCTCCTTCAACTTCCCAACGGAATCCATCATCAAGTCAGTGACAACCACCAGATCCCCACCGTAGATCTTTTTATTGTTCTCTACCGCGCTGGCAATGACTTCAGAGATCTCACTGGCAGACACATCCAGCTGAATATAGCACAATGACATGAATATTCATGTTGATGTAAGCAGTGGCGGTGGAATAATTTTAAAGGGGGGCCCAACTACATGTACGTCGGTGTAAATTTTCCAAAAGAGAAGGATCTAAAAGTAAATGGCAAGGCTAAAGCCATCATTTAGATATCAGGGGAAGGGGACATGTACATCTTTCTACACCCAAATGAAAAGCAGGGCACTAGCAGTCCGGCCATCTTTCCATCCAATCACCCACCCCACCTTTTTTTCCTCCGACACTATGAAACTTTCCTGGGTGGATACCCAGGTAGGTCCACTTTGGGAGGAACAAAAGCTCTTTATCTTCTCCTGACGATGACGTGAGTGTTTACCACTAATTCTGCTCAGAACCAACTGGTTACCAAGCATGATTAGTCTTTCCCTGATGTTCACTGGGGACGGGGGGAGGGGGGCAGAAATGGTCCCTCACAGACTAGTTGGAAATCTGTGTCCCATGTCTGCAAATGAGCACGATGAACACGGCACTGGAAGTCGAAACGTTAACAATGTCATTCACCCTGCATCTGTGCATCTGTGGGAAGGCTCGCATCTCTGTGCCTTTTTGCCACCGGACGACTTTCTGCCAAACAAGCTCTTACCTTGTCTTCTATATCTTCCGCCCATTCAGACACACAGCGACTGAGATCCGGCCCAGATTCTGGAATCCACATGGCTGGCCTCCCTTCACAGTGCCACTCAGCCCCTCTACCTGAATGGAAACATCACAAACATCCATCAAGTGCTTGCACATGTTGATATTAAGCAATAACAAGAACGTACCAACATTCTTCATGGGTTGATGAAGAATTATATTCAATTGTGAATATAACTATAAATTGCTGCCTAATTTCATAAACCCGCTTAGCAGAAAAGTTATACTTGCTATAGCAGAAAAAAATAGCTAACCTTCGGCACTACTTCATGGTGGTACTTTGTGTGGTTGTGCTTACAGTAACAAGCACAGAGAGATTTCAACTTTGCCAAATTTTTCCTCTGAGGTATCAAGGTTGCCTTTTGCCAACCTTACTGCTTAACCTCTTCCTGAGGTACATGAAGCCTCTGTTAGCATAAATCTTTGTGCCAAGAAGCACTCAGAAATTGGGCCCTGCTGTTAACATCACTGTGAAGGCATGTTACCCACAATTGATACAAACAAACATGACAAAAAGCACAAACCAAAACCGCCCTAGAGTTCCACATTTTTAGCATATGTGCAACAAATCAAAGAGTGTGCTGAAATCCTGAGAGGAGCACCTTGAAAAGGCATTACTGTCTCCCTAAAGAATGCAACTCTGGTGGGGAACAGGTGCCAACTCCATCACAGTGATAGGGATGAATATGGCTGGCAATTGACCTTTAACCTCTGAGGTCAGCACAGACACAAAAAGGTCAAAAGTAAGGAAGGAATATATCAAGCCTCAGAGTGGGAGGCAGAGAATTTGGGCCAGGCCAATAGATGCAGCCAAGTGCCCCTTTGTTCAATTTTGCTGGTGACTTAGTTCATTCCAGGCTGCAAGTCCCAGTATGGCATGCAGGTTCCCCAGCTGTTAAGGCCACTTCTTTCTGGCAGGCACTAGCATACCAAACCCAGGCATACCCATGAAGCTCTGGATCTCATTTCATAGAAGCTATGCTCCCACAGAGACCTGTAGCACATGCATACAGCAATCATTCACTGCCAAAGAACCTGTCAATTAGGAACCCAATCTTTTAAGTCCATTATTCCACTCCAAGTGTTATTTTTGTTTTATCCAGTAGATTGTATTACAAACTGGGGCTGGTTTAATTTCAAACAAGGATCCACCTCATGTTACATTTCCCCCCTTTTTCACCAGATCTTTCAACAATGTCAACCGATTAAATAACAACAAAACATGTACGTGTACATGTTCATGTTGTGTGTATGTACATGTATATGTCGACACAGGTGTGTGTGTGTGAACTTCACCCACTGGAGAGCAAACTTAAGCCAGTATTATACAATGTAGGCCTACATGTGCATGTACATGTGCCCTACATGTACATGGACACGTACATGTAGAAAGGTCGTTACAGTTGCCCTGCATTCACATGTGAATCTGCTGCAATGTTACAAATTTGTGCACGGGTTCACTTTTAGTCTTCGGCATGATTGGGTATTAATTAAACTGAAAAACTGTGTTCTAAATAGTTCACATGGTCCTCAGATTACTCGTAAAAGTAGCTCATCCATGTACATGTGCGTGTATGGCAGTGTTAAACTTCAAAGCAGAACTAGCCAGTAGAAATCAAGCTCCATGGCTCCATACACGTACATATGTACAGTATTAAACTGAGGTAACAGGCTATAAAAGCATGGACTGTACAAGTATGATGTTCATACACAAAAATGAATCAAAAATATATCCCCCCCCCAACTGGACAGATCTTGAAGAATGATTTTATGCAACAAACATGTTGGACGGATTAGGTTGAGTTGTTTTGCAGATGATGCCGATCACTTTCAGTCAGAAGGAAAGTGGAGCAAGGCCGCAACTGACGTCAGGTTTTAACCTGGAAAACCTAGGACACTCGAGTTGGCAATTCCAAGAGTTTAAATCAGACAGTCATGGGGAAAAACAGTAAAAATGTCAAGTGACATCAACAAAGAAGAGCAGGATGACATCTACAAAGAAAAAAAGTCAGTTTTGATAAAAAAAAATGAAAACAAAAGTGACGAAAAAATAAAAATAATAATTACTTCAGTTTTGCTATACTGTAAATTTGGGAGTAATAACCTGTACTTTTTTCCTTGATTAATCATGGAATGTGACTGATAACAGACAGGGAATGAAAGTGGAAACAACGAAAGAAAATTCACAATGACTTCCTCTGATTTTTCCCACGGTGGTTTCAGGAGGGGCTGTCAACAGTTAATTCCGAACAGTAACTCTTAGTGTGACATGCAGCCATTCTTGGACACAATGATGTACTGATAACTCGATATGGCTTAGCAAGATCCTATTTGTACAGGTTCAAATTCACCAGGTTCAGTTGTTTTAACAGGGCATTAGGATTGGTTTGATTTTTGATGTCCATCTTTCCTGAGTACAATGTATGTGTGGATTTTTCCAATAAAACTCAAGCAACAGTGAAGGAGAACCAACGCTGGAAGTTTTTTTCCCTGCCTTTTGGGTTAAATGTTTGAAATAAACAAATACACATCGCACATGATGTGATCAGCGACCATAAAAGGTTCAGGACAAATATGCGAGATTTGAGGCCACCATCCTCACGTGGGGAAAGGAGAGAGTAATTAGCTGGGGTCACTGACCGAGGTCAAACTCTGGCCTGTAATGAAACCTATTAGAAGATTTCCTGCAAAACCAGGTCATAAATGAGCCAAAAATGCCTGATGACCTGAGTGTACTATATATTTACATCACAAGGAAACCTGCCGTAGAAGTTCACACTAATTTTCAGATTGCAGTCCATGTATGTACCAGTATGTACATGTATATGCACGTAGGGGGATTCAATGGTTCACAGTGAAAATAAATTAATCTCTCACACTTCATCTGGAGTTGTCACGCAGACCTTGAACTAAACTTTATGGCATGTCCTTGACAGCCCCTTGGTCAAGTTTAATACTTACTTTTTCTAAACACATTTAGTGACACATCCAGTATAACTGTATTTTAGAACTTGACAGTACCCCAGACCTGAAAAAAAAATCATGTCTTTTATAGTTTTGAGGAGTGGGACTTCTTTCAGGCAACTGTCAACTGTATACCTTTCCCACAGGAACAGCCTTCATTAAGTAAGTGACTTTTCTTGACAGTAATTTACTAATTTAATTTGAACACTGTTTCCTTTTTAATGTAACTACACCTGACAAGACAAGCTACTGTACTGTATGCATGTGTACCATTACCATATACCTCAAGCTGTCTACAGCCAATCTTCCTGTCACAAATAGAACCTTCAAATCAGGAATTCCTGCTCTCTTTTACTATCCTAAAGACAGCAACGGGTACCCATGTTTTGAACACTTTATTACAGTTCTATGGAAATTTGGGGAAGGGGGGATGCTGTCTGACATGTATCAGGCACCTATGAGTCCTGCCCTAAGATAATTGCCAGGAACCCGGTCAAACGCTCAGATAAAACCAGACAACCTTCTGCTTCCTGAGTGCCATGGTGTGGCTCTCTGAAGCTAGTCTACATCAAGTTGTCAAGCTCGCCTTGCTTAAGGTCTCAGTCATCCTAAAGCTTTGATCCTCCATCGAAGTGAAACTTTGAAGTCACAGGCTGGCGAAAGAAATATTTGATATGTCTCCAGAAAAATCTAGAGATTTTGAAGAGGGAAATTGCTGGACAAATTTACACCCCAAAAAATCTGGCACTCCAGTAAGTCAAACAGATTACTGAATTCTCTGACCACCTTTGAGCAACTCACACCAGTATCTGCTCTTCCTTGATACTGAAATTTGCACATTTCTGTAAACCCCAAAGATTTTTCAGTGATGTAGGGATTTCAGAGGGATGGAATTTACTAATTCTCTGCGCAGTCATGAATTTTGTCAGAATTCGTCCAACTTAACCCTAACTCCCTAGTGTGTGTACAAAATCATATTAAAATTGGAGGATTCAGAGCTGTTAGGGCTAAGACCACAACACCAATGTAGAAACATGCTCAAAATGAATTTGACCAAGAGACACACTAGTGATACCCTTTGTGTATACACTCAGGCACACATGATCATTGTCAGAGACAGGCATGAGACTGTAACCCTCTATTACTTGAGGTGACTGCAGGAATGCCTGCTTCTAAAAGCACCTGAAAGAGCTTGATTAAAAACCAAAAAAAAGGCCTACCAACAGTTCCTTCGGGACAGGGTTGTCTGCTGAGTGATCCTGACAGAATTTGAGGCCATTGGATTCCCCTCCGAAAGGTCGCAGGGCAGAGGGCGAGGCTAGTGAGTGGAGGCACTGGCTTTGCTGGAAACAAAATACAAACACAGGTTGAAGGTTTTTTCTTTCAAGTTCCTCTTTTCATTTTAGATAATTTGTGCTTAGAAGTTGCTGACATGTTGAGTGTACTAAATGAGTACACTCAAGTGTACGTTCCACTCAAACGTGTATAAAAACACTTTCATCGGTTTGACCAAAAAAGTCATTAAATGTACACCACGTTTTTTATTAGAATTGCGAATAAGTTTAACCTACTTTAACTGGTTCGACAATCTTGTCATGTGATCTCAACAGTGAAATTGCAGAACCTGATAGGTCAGATGAAATAATATGTTGGGTTCACAGAGGTCAAATAAAAAAGGTTGCAGCTTACACGTTGGAGCAGCAACTTTGGATGTGGTCACCATCTGGGTGGAGCTCTGTGTGGGACTCTGGGTGGAGATTTGGGTTGGAATTTGAGTGGGGCTCTGGGTGGGGCTCTGGGTTGGCATCTGAGTGGGTCTCTGAGTGGACATCTGGGTGGGACGCTGAGTGGGTCTCACTGTGGGAGAAGGCGTGCTGACTGCCACTGTAGGTGGTGGAATGGTTGTCGTGGTTGACGGCCTGGTGGTTGCTATGGGAACGAATAATTATTTTCGATGAGGTTTTCTAATTTCATTTACTGGTACATGCATCTGCAGTGGCGGTCTTCCAGATGTTCGTGTATTTCACGATAAATAACCCCTTTACGTGCATTTTTACTGCATGTCATGGACAAGTTCTTTGACAGAGAGGATATAAAAAATATCACTTCTAATGACCCTCAAACAAATGTGGCCCTCTGCCAACTTGTGCAAATTTAAGAGCTCTAAACTTGAAGAATTCCCAAGTACCAGAAAAAAGTTCTCTTAATTTCATTTACTGACAGCAGGTTACAGAACGAGAACTTTTGGGGATTGGTACAAAATATTTACCCATAATGGGATGCTGAGCTAGTGTGACAAGAAAATATGTAATCCTTGTGGGTGATTCCCCTGTGAAAAACAGCACACGTAAGTATCACAGGCAAGAACAATAAACACAGTCAGTCAAATTCATCCTGTCAGCACTACAGTCACGGGAAACACTCTTTTGGCATCTCCGTACGAGGTACTGAATTATTCAATTATTTCTCCAAATGTAGTTTGCTCTTAGCATCCCCACATCACTCCAGCATTCCAAGAATTCAGAGAAAAGCACAGACACAAAAATGCATCCATTGTAACCTGCTTGGCCATTTGGACAATTTCAAACAGCTTAATTAAGACTTTGTTTTATTGAACCAAGTTTATTCCACTAAGCTGGCTTACAGAAAGTCTAAATCTAAAAGTCTGGACCATCATCAAGTACATGTAGGCCTTCACGGTTTTCCATTCCAGCATAAAATGACAATAAGCAGATGAAAAGGCACAACCATTTTTTTAATGTGTTTTTACATTTGTATAAAATTTGCACTTTTTACACAAGGTACATCATAATGAATGGTTCATTAATGTCCATGTACACAGTACATGACATTTAAATTGAAGCCTGTTTTCATCCTCAGTAAATGGCACTGTTGAAGTTGAACCATTATTCGAATATCACATTTCAAACTGTTTTCACATGCATGTAACATTATCATCAAATCCAGCAGGGTGAGCATGATGCATGCATAAGCATTAAGGAGAAGACGTTAGAGAGACAATTAATTGTTAGGTTTGGTGTCTAGGTATTCACACACACACATCTTCAATAAGGGCACCGGTGCTGTCATCAGCAAACCCTTCACTCAACTTTACTCTTCATGCTTTCCAAGATCAAATAAAAAGGGGGTTTCAGTTTTCTTTTTTAATAGACCAGGAGGTCGAAGCAACTTCTAGAAGATACAAGCTGAGGGCAGATTAAAATATGGAGGAAATATTAACTGCAAGAAAATGGAAAAAAAAACACCTGGGCTGCTGATCGTAATAACTGATCATTTGGTATCCCTTTCATCGTGGAAAAAAATTTTATTCACAAAAACTGTTTGTACTTCTCAAAGTATTCTGGTTGAGAAGTACAATGTAGCAACATCAAATTAATGTTGGTCACTGCAGACTGGTCAACTGCTTTGCACACTCTTGAAGTTACGATATACATGTATATCAAAATGTTGAAGAGGTTAGGATAGGAAGAGTTACATAATTGTGTCTACCTTTTTTTGTCTATTACCATGACAACAGACTCCGGAATGTGTGTACTTACGAGGAGGCATGATGCACTGAAACTGCACCTCTAAGTATTTGTAGATGTCTGGACATGGGTTCCCAAAGATCTGGTTTGTTGCAGGAACTGCACAGTGCTTTTTATTGCTGCATCTGAGGCAGACAAAGGTTAGAAACACAAGAACATGCAATGAGGTCACACGCTACGATGATGAGGGGTATGGCAGGTGTAGGTACGTGAATGCAAAGGATGAGACAAGCATCAGGGCAATTAACTGCTCTCTGGTCTTTATGTTTCCACACTGGAGAACTTTGGGTTTTGCTTGAAGTGTGATTGATTGTTATTGAGGTAACTTGGCAACAGATGCTAGCAACACACCAGCGCACTGACATTATTTGGTATTTATTGCAATACTGACCATAAGCTTTTATGCAAAGGTTTTGGGGAAGAGTTTTGCCAGACAAAAAAATGCATTGGTGAAGGGGAGATCTTATAAAGAAATCAACCTGATTTTGCTTCCACAACTCTACTTTGTGTAATAAAATCAAGTACCGTACTGATTTGTATACTGGGCTTTTTTTTTTTCGTTAAATTTAATCCGTAGTTGGTAAAAAAATTGCACATTTTCAAACCTCAGATTCAAAGAACTTTGGTCAATTTCCCTTTTTTTTTTTGGAGAAGAACATGAAGAAGTGCACAAAGAAGTTGCTGATTAGATTTTAAGAAATGAGAGAGCTGTTCGGTATGCAAGTGTAATGCAGTCCAAGAAGTAAATGCACTGATTTCACAAACATTCCTGGTGAAACATGATGGATTATTAATTAATTAGAATGACAGATCACACAACACACATAATCAAATTCTACACGTACATTGTAAACAAATCATGAAAGTCATAGGCTGAGCGGGAGGAAAAATTGGTATTAGTGACTGAGGATTAGTGTCAGTTAGTACCGTACTCACACACATACATGTATAAACATGTTGTACTGTAGCTTAAGCTGTGAAAGCTTGCTTTCATGCAGTCATTGCTCTTATTAATAGAGTTTACGTAGGGTCAAAAATGCTGCACACTGTGGGTACATCATCACTCGCTACAGTTGTCACTACCGTTATCTACAGCCAGGCTGTCTCCTGCGGTCCGGGCCATGCACCGTCGCAGGATGTCCCATACTTACGCTTGGGAACACATCGCAGGTAGACTTCGAGAAATTTACTAGTGCCGGGGCAAGGGTCGCCAAAGACGTCGGTATTTGCGGGGATTGCGCATGTTTTCCAGTTATTGCAGCTACAAAGAGTAAGATTGTTTTTGAGGTCAAAAATATGGGCTGGAGGTCAGGGTAGTGAGAGAGAAAACAGTGGCGACTTGGAGAGGTGTTAATGAACGGTGAAGGAGACTCTGATGGGGAAGTGGTGATAAGGGTCAACGAGGTGAGGAATTATACATTGTGCTGATCATGAGGTGACTTGGGGACACGATGTTGGTGTGTAACATATGAACACTGACAGTGATGGGACTTTGTGGTGACTGTGACAAAGTGGGATCATGGGTCATGGTGGTGATGGAACAATGTGGGCACCTGCATTCATCGCATAGATTGACTGGCAAGGTACATGTAATACTTGTCATGAAACCACTAGAAACTTTAAGCAGTAGACGACAGGGTAGAATATGAATCAGATATGCCCTCTGAACAGTAAACAGAAATTCCTGAAATGCAATCCCTTTGGTACAAACATGTTTCACAAGCTGTGAGACGACAGGAGATAAAAATTATGAATGAAAAGCAGAGCTCATTTATGCATCATACACAGAATTCATGTTTGCCAGCTGTTGCAATTCCAATCGAAAGTAGAAATTAAGAAATTTGAAACAAGGATAATCACCCTGGACCTTTTAAGAAAATTAGTTTCAGCAGAAAGGGTCAAAGGAGCAAGGAGGGTTATTCCAAAACTGACAACTTTGTTAACTAGTGTTTGAATAATCTGGCACCAATGTTTTCTTGAATGCAATTAATGAAAGACATCCTGGCAGTTCCAAGTTTGAATACCGTTTGTCAATTTCTTTACCCATTTAATCAACAACTGATCAAAAAGTAAACCCATCTAATCCTCCCAAATGGTTGGGCTGATAGGAAAACCCCATTTATAGTCTGACAAGAAATGTATGCTGAGGAACACACAGCTGGACAGCCGGTAGACCAGTATGTTTTTGAACTCACTGCAACTCACTAGGCAAATTTGGCCGTACACGTTTTGGTTTCCCATTTACCAGGAGTATGAACTGGCCCTATTTCAAAGACTGTGGAGCAGCGACTTACCAGACTGTTTGATTTGTCCTTGTATAATTTCATCATATACACAAAAGGAAAAATATCCAACAGTCTCTCCTGACTGGACCACACAAGCAGTATGTATGAAAACATTGGCACCTAAATACAAACAAAAACTATTCACACAAGGGCAACCCAGTACAATATTAGTCAAACTTGTAAAACAAGCACAGAAAAAAAAATAAATAAAAGCAAAGAAAACTTTCAAGATACCTCTCTGCAACAATTTCAAATGAGCTGGGCTGAATGCACTCTGTGTCATTGTTGGGTCCCCTGGGGCAAGTGTCCGTGTCAGTGCGGCCAAAGTTGGCGGACTCTATTATCAGGATGTGCTCGCTGGAGAGACAGCGAAGATTCATGGTACTGCCTTCGCAAACGCTGCTGTAAAGCACCTCTTGTCGCCTGACTCTCTCTAGTACCGTAATTCCCTCTTCAAGAAAACAGGATGTAATGATCATGAATTGCTTGGTGATGTGGGTTGGATGAAAAACTGGGGAATAGTAAATTAACAGCTCCTTGACACAAGAAACGCATTCACCAGCGTTTTCTTTTTATTATCCCTTCCTATCAATTACGAGTGGGAACAAAAGAGGGCGTGTTTTTAAATGAAAATGATACTGTCATTTCATTGGTACGAACTCACCACAGACAAGTAGCGGTAGGTGGCAGTTTAAGTGCATTTGACACGGAGCACGATGAGGACATGCAACAAATTTATGCTGGAATATGGTCTTCACGGTTGGAAAACGTAGTACCATCTGGCTTTCTTTTGCCAGTGAGGGCGCACTTCAACTCAGGGCATGTGTACAAAGCATACATATACATGTACAACACCACATCATCTCCTTAAGGTGCATGTGGAGGGCAAGTACTGTACATGTGCACCCCTGGCCCCCTTTCAAAGAGAAGTGGAATGATCAACTTACCAGCTTCATTTTCAGCTGCAAGGAGTAACACCAGCATCCAGCAGACTACTCTACCAAACATTAAGATCCTCCCTGCTTCGGGCCGGACGGCCATCCTTGCAATATTTCCTTTCTCCTCCTCACCTGAATGCCAGGACTTTTCAATGAACAGTTTACAGAAAGTCCCACTAGAAGGCTACCCACATGTAGCACAGGGGATTGTGATCCTGATTGTGACTTCCCCCTCCTTCTGACGTCCTTCTTGGCATTTACCCCCGCTGGCTGGGAGGCGGTGATTGAGTCTCCCAAACCAGGTCAAGGGGTAATCCGAGGGTAGGTGGCCGAGGGTTCAGATATAGCCTGAGCGGGACAGCGAGTCAATTGCTGTGGCTGTGTATGTCTGCAGAGATAAAGGAAAAAAAGGAGATGGAGCCAATTAAAGGCCTGGCCAGTAATCCTTTAGGGGCTTGATTAGATCCCCCACGTCATGGTCACTGCTCAAAAGTCACAGAAACTTCATAGATCAAAAGGCTGAAGACATTCTGCATTTGAGCAAATGTGAAGCTTGGCCCCACATTTATTGGTATGGGGTATGTTTACATTACAAAAGTGCATATTATCATGGTTGGGGTTTTGTTTGGTGGATTTTTTCCGGAATGGTACTTCTGTGTTTTTAAGCAACAATGTACATATAACTTGGAGAGTGAAACTGTACCGGTACAATAACAAACAGGTTATGATACACTATACATAAAAAAATGTACTTCAATTTCGTCAAAAGAAAAGTTATCCACTCACTTCTCCGAAAGTGTACCTCAGTTTACTCAACATACCTTCAACTCTCACTTTTTGTTTGTGATATGTAATGTTCATGTACACTGAACCCTGCTCCTTTTGACCTTATGCTGTGCTTTCTTGTGACCAGACTTGGTATAAACCACAGGGAGGCTCCATTGTGTTGGCAGGTGCTTTTGTTATCTCCATGTGCCAGTAATGGCTGGTATTAGTCCACTTTGCCCCCCATTCAGGTTAAGGACACAAAAGAAGCCCATTGGTGGTTGGGGTGAGACAGGGGTATTACCCTAATTATCACCTACCAAACTGGCGACAGTAGTGGGCCAGTAAACATTAAACAAGGGTTTTAATGAGGGAACATGTATGGTACAGTGTAGGAACGATGGATTTGGAGCCATGTTCATTTACATCACTACACTGACATGAAGTTTGTGAATGTTGGTACAAATGTTGGTCAATGGATTTGGAGCCATGTTCATTTACATCACTACATTGACATGAAGTTTCAGGGTACAAATGTTAGTAAAACAATATCCCATGTAGAGGGCACAGAGTACCGGTACCTACAGGCACAATGTGTGCAGTGGGGTTTTCTGGGGCTACACTCGGTTAGGGGCACGTAAGGGCAGTTTTTAGAATTGTTTTTTAGAGAAAGGTGGTCTGTTGAGGGCGACATTCAAGTGACAATTTGCAAAACAGCACTTCACAGATCATCCTATAGATTTCCCCTATCCCTTTCAAGAATACTTACATGTATGTGGAAGACCAGCTTGCAAGTACATGTAAACTTAAAAGTAATGTTTGTAATCCAAGTAAAACAGCAATGCAGCCAGGTCAAACTAAGGTCAGATATATTCTGCTCTCTTACACAGTAGTAATCATAATACTTGTTTGTTCAATTTGACCAGCAAATATCAGTACAGGTACATGTATAACTGAGTGAAAACCTTCCAGTGGATTCACCTTCATACAGGTATCGGGGGGGGGGACATGTATTATACTTTCACTTTCCTACTTCACTTCCCTACCTGTACTTTCATGTATTTGAGGAGAGGACTTGTTTACAGCATGCATTCATGCATGACATCTCAGTAAACACATCTAGAATGCCAAACCGCCAATTCAAACAACCATAGTCAGAATCTTACACATGTACAATGTACACGATACCATAACTGATGTTGTCACGCGTTGATGATCAACACTAAGTTCCACAGAGTCAGACAAACCACTTCCCAAAAGTTCCACAAGTTCCCTCTGGAACAATGTCAGTACAATTCAAAGTAGTAGTCTTGAGCCTGAAGGACCTACATGCACATGTAGCCCTAGAAATTACCGGTACCTTACTATGGTACTTCAGGCTAGGGCCACTCTCCATTATTACTCGTACAGAGAATAATAAAGTTGTGCATTCCTAGTGCCATAGCACCGTATGGTACATTGTCTTATATGCACATGTATCTATTGTTGTATGGCTTCAGAGAACAATAAGGTCATGTCCTCTTACAAGTGACAGCCCTATATACGCTACAGTTTACTTAGTACCTGTACATGTGTACAAGTACTTCGCACTACATGTAGAATTCAGGTCTGTTAGGGTTAACCATATCTCTTGAAGGTGTAATAGCTACAGGTGCATGCTGTACAAAAAACTTGTCATAACACCTACGGCGTCACTTTAACAACTGCTTCTTGAAACTGTGTAATCAGAAATCTAAACTAACCTAACATATTTCCCAATTAAACTGTCTCCTATCCAAGAGGGTAGAATTGTTTATGCAGTATGCAATTGAAAGGGAATCCCTCCAGAAAACTGTAATGTATCCAGTAACTGAGTAAAGTAAAACAAGAATTTGCTTACACCTACCCAAAGACAACCATATGTTCTGTTAAATTTATGGACCAGTACTACTGTGGAGACACTACGCCCATATGCACCTGCCATGCAGGTCAGACATGCATATGTTGCTTCTTCAAATGCTCACTTCAAGCGACGCTGTACAAACTGAAGTCAGGCCATTATCAAGAGATTCATTCTCTGCCAAGAAAGGGAAGAGATTTATCCTTACAGAGTAAATCAGACACCTTTGCTTCTTGAAGCACCAGTACATGTACACTGTACATGTATGAAAAGTCTACAAAATAGGGGAAAGGATTTCCTGTTATTTATAAACATCCTGGGTGTTCAGACATGCAGAAATGTGGGTCCAGGAATGCTGGAGGATTCCAATGGATAACTACATGTACACATGTATGTGCGCTGCTGGTGAGAACTAAGTAGTCACGTTTGAGTCACCGTACGCATACATGCATACATGCTGACTGCTTCATTTTGTACTATGCCTCCCTCAAAGATGCGTATCTATGTACATGTAGGTCACCTCAAGAGGCTAGTTTGACTGCGCTACTTGAATCAGTTCATGTAGAATTTGCAGTCAGCATCGGTCGAAACGACCCACTGTGGGGGGAACAAGCAAAGTGCAGCTCCCACCAAGGGAACCACTGTTGCTAGGACATTACGCCCTTTCTTGGTCCTGCTCTGCACTCATTACTGGCACACCGATTGTACTTGCACATGTGCAGTAAATGTACATGTGCATTGAAAGAGCATCCAGCAGTGGATTTCGCATGCTGTAGACCTTTCTCTCATGCCACACAAGTTTTCATTCATGACGATGATGTTGGTTCATTAAATTCAACACAACCCTTTCTCACACAAGCTAAAAGGTTCACTAGGTCACATTCAACAAACTCATTCACTCATGAAGGCCAGAGTGACTATGAATACAAACGCTCAGACTGGCATCCCAGGCAGATCCAGTCTTGGTTGATACACAATGAACTAACTGAAGATGCATAAAGTCTACCAACTATTTATCAACCCATTAAAAATTCTCCTGGTAGAACAATTGAACAAAAGAAGGTCACCCAGGAGTGATTTGCAGCTAGAAGGAATGTCAGGGAGGGCAGACTGGTAGCCTCTCATGCCATTTATCATCATTTGGGAAAACTGACCGCTGAAAAGAGGAAATTTTATGGTCCTTTTTCAGATGGCACCACTAAGTGCAGATAATGTGGTAAACATTAGTGGGCACTTACAATACATGTAACTAAGTCAGTTAGGATTGATATGCAGCCCTTGATCAAACACAGAAAATGAAACTCCAGCAAAACTCCACACACAGTACCCAAGCGCCAAAGTGAAGTTTCCATCCTCATAAATTTGCCTCAATATTTATGGCCCCCAAACCAAGCTTCTGATTCTGGTCATGCGCTCAAATTCCTTTTCAGTGACTCATCCTTTCAGTCATATCAGGGGGAGTACTTTAGTTGCCCAATCCGATTTAACCCAGGGCAAAGGGACAAGATTATGCCACCCAGGGCTAACATGTTCCAATAAGTCTTGGCTTTTGCCATGGTTACGTCAAATTTAAGGAACCTGCTAATATCAAAAGACAAAAACAGTCTGCTAGAGACTAAAAACATACACTTTGGGAGTGGCAAAGTTCAAACTGCCAGATTTGCAGCTCTTATTTACCTTTCTGTCTGAATGGAGTCAGCTTTCCACACCAACAGACAGGTTAACGACACCTTGGATAATCAGAGTGACTCATGCTACAAAAATACTTCTTTGGAAAGTTTCAAAAGGTAGGGGAAGGGGTGCACTGAGATGCCTGACTAGACAGACCAGACTGGTTCGACCACAGGGGTGCACATGGAGAGATCAGACTGGTTCCACCACCTGCTGCTTCTCAAATGTGAAAAATAAGGGGATAAATCTGTGATTGTCTGGAAGTACATGTGTAGAGGTTACACGAACTGCACGTACGCAGTCATTTCATTCTAAGTTATGATCTGAAAGTTGACAGCATTCCATTTGGCATACATGTACATTGTATTTCACGTTCCGTCCTTTAATTTCTTTTTTGTGCACAGCTTTCATTCCTCATTGGATTGGCTTGAATTACAAACAAGATGTCAGACTAAATATAGCACATTAGGTACATGCACATGTACCAGGTGCATGTACCAGCACATGTGAACCATTAAAAAAGTTTATATTTGCATATGTACACACACACTTTCCAATACATTTGTGTACAACATATCTGAGCAAGGCGCCATCAATTCTGTTTTTAATTTCTTGCTGAACAGCAATGTTTTTTTCCCAATATGAATTTCTTCTCTGCACAGCACAATTATGTTTACAGAAATGACAAAATATCCTCAAAAACTGTAAAACGCACAGACATTAACAAGGACACAACAATTGGAAAGCCCTGAAACAAGCAAGATCAGACAATAAAACTCTGGGTTTTTTTTTTACATATTCAAAGAGAACTTTATCAGATAGCTTCAGATTTGAAAGCACAATGAAATATGAATGCAATGAAACTTTAATTGTCAAATCCCTGGTTTCCCCCAACCAATGCCACAACAATCCTTGGCCTGAGTCACATCTCAAGATTACAATCTTTTCCAGCCACTCTTCCCCCCTTCTTTAGGCTGAGACCAAGCCCCTAGAGAGGGGATTCCTTGACCGTCCCTGACTTGCAAACGCCTTATCAGGTCTTCCATTCATCCCAGTTTATCACATGTCACATG